TAGGATCCGGTTTAGTGTCGGTGGTAGGTTATTTTCAAACCAGCTGTGGTTGTACAACTTTTATGACATAGTAAACTTGCTAAATGGAAATGTGTCTTTAGCAATTACGTTTTTATCTCACTTTTACTTTTGTTAACAACAGTTAGGTTGAGGGTCGGGTTTAGTGTCTGTGGTACATTATTTTCAAATGCGACAGAGCATTAATCTTTTAGCACCACTCACCAGACATTTAATTGAACTGCCGCAATACATACATAACCTAATCTATTTTGTATAAAACTGAACATGCTTTTAGAGCCACTCACTGGATATTTCACTTTGAAAATATTGCAAAACATGCAAGAGGCCATGCAATATCATGTTGCAGAAATGTCACCAAAGACACATATTTCCAATGAGAAATATTCCATTTTTTTATTTTTTTTTTTTTACATTTACCATACTCACAGCGGGGCTTTGATTCACACCTTCCCCCATTTCCTGACCCGACTTCAATTCTCTCTTTCATTTGATGCAGGACTAAATAAGAAGCCTGTACGCTTAGAAACTGTCTGCACCATGGACTAACAACTATTTTTATATAAAGAAATACTTTCATTCAATAAAGATGCATTAAATTTATAAAAATTAAAATGTAGACATTTATAATGTTTAAAACAATTAATATTTCAAAATTGTTCTTTTGAATCGTAATATTGTGAAATGTTATTACAATTTTAAATATATATATATTTTCTATTTTAAAATGTAATTTATTCCAGTGATGACAAAGCTGGAATTTTCAGCATCATTACTCCAGTCTTCAATGTCACATCATATTTCCAATGAGAAATATTCCATTTTTTTTTTTTTTTTTTTTACATTTACAGTGCATTAACAGAACAGTGTTGTCTGATCATTTGCAAAGCTTGTAGTCTGCACATAAAAAATGGTCAAACAAATATTAAATTCTAAATATTAAAAAGTGGCTTTTATATTTTAGAGTGTTAATCTATCAACTGGTTTGGTGATTGGACTTTGTCGGCTTGAAAGTTTTCACTTTGCTGACCCAAAGCTGTTCTTTAGGATCACATTTCTGTGCTTTTCATCGCACGCCCTGTGGGAGCCTTCATGCAAGAGGTGGGAAAGTGAGAGTCCTGTGCTCTCGGGATCTGTGTTACAAGCCTTTGAAACTCTGAGAAGGAGTGACCGGGAGCAGAGGCAGCTCCACTAATCTGGGTCTTAGCGCTCCGCAGGTGTCCGGGTGGAATGTGTTTTACATGATTGAAAGTGTTAATCTGAGACAAATGGCAACTCTTGGCTTCTGATGTTGACATTCGGCCTCTAGGGACAATGTTCGCTCTGATTCGTTCTCAAACCTCCGTTCGCTTAATTAACCTAAATTAATGCATAAAAGGCCAGATGTTCTTTACCAACATATCAAAATTACACAGGCACATGTACAGACAGAAATGTTACCTTTTGAACAACTGTACAAAGTCAGAAGGGCAGCACAAAAATCAGTGGGCCATGATCGTGTTACACAACATACATCTTAAGTATGTTGATACATACTTAAATATTAATACAGTGAACCAAACACCATGATGGTATCAATTTAGCCACATTTAAAAGCCAGGACCATTCTCAGAATGACTGAATGTTCTGACCTTGGTTTGGTGTATTAGCTGAGATTTTGTAAACACCACAATTTTTTTCTGACTGAACTTAAAGGGGTCATGAACTGGCTTTTTTATTTTTTATTTTATACTGTCGTCTGAGGTCCACTTATGACGTTCGTATGGTTTTTACATTCAAAAACATCAAAATCAATATGTAATAGGCTATTTTCTACCCTGGTTTTGAGGCCAGCTCGAGAAACGCTCGGTTTTTATGGGCATGCCGCATTGAAGACTTGGAAGTAAACGCCCACTGCTATGATTGGATAACAGTTTTGCATAGTAAACTAACTTTCTGTGTGTCTGTTTGACAAGCTACATCCTTCATAGTTGAAGCCTTCTGTGACTTTGTTTAGACACGTACACATAATCAGGACATATCAAGCGATCTCCTGGTGTCAATAAAAGCTTTTATTTCAGTAACAAGGACGTTTTCAGTTCTGAAACTTACATGATATTCTTTTAGTACAATGATCTCTTATATAGCAAACGCTCAAGTAAAAGTTGATTTCTCAATTCATGATCCCTTTAAATGTTTAAATTTCATTTTCAGTTAAAATAAATACATATAATACTTATGTTTATGTGTTTTATTTATTCATCTGTTAAACAACAAAGGTTATGAAATATATAAAAATACTTATTTTTCTTTGTACAGATTGCCAAATAACTCTTTAAATATATTACAAATAAATAAATAAAATAAATAAATCCCACGGCAGTTGTATAAAAACCTCTGCATCTCAAATCCCACAAATTGTTGGCCAATCTGTTTGAAGCTTACAGTTTTCACAGTGTTTTCCCGTTTTGTGTACAACGTGCATCAGACAGCCAGTGAATGGACTTTAGGTGGCCCTTCAGCTTGCCGTATGAGAGTGGGACTAGAAGTAATTGGACCTCAACAATCTGAACTTTATAATCCGATGGTTTGTTCCAGTGGGTGTGCCCATGTTCTTCTGGCGCAGGTTTCTGGGTGAGAGTAACAGCAGTTGGCTGCTGCAAACATCCGACTGAAAGCTCCATCTTAAGCACCAGCTTCCAGTCAAGGATGTTTACAGTAGCCTGTACTGCCAGCTGACTTTTTACCCACTATGCAGACGATACGTAAACCTGACACTGACTGTAACCCTAATACACAAAAATTTGTGCCATCGCTGGCACAAAAACCTGACAAACACAGCTAAAAACTTTGAGTTACTTCATGAGACTGCAGATTTCAGCACTTCCTCTGTGTCCATGGAGAGGCAGTCATTCCGGCTAGGTTTGGCCCACCTTGTGACACTATGAGGGCTGGTAACCATGACAGAAGAGACATGTCATATTTACATTGAAAACACTGGAAACTCAGCGGCTGTAATTTGTTTTGCCATGACTGTCCCACAAAAAGCCAATCTGATGAATCTTAACAAGCAACGTATCTCTGCTGACTGCAAACGTCTCCTAAACACAAACAGCGGAGCAGCTTCCTGCCAACCCCCTCCAATCACAAAGCGTCCATCTCTGTTTACTCTTTAAACGAAGCTGTTAGGACCCCTGCATTGTGAGGGCTGAGATGGCAGATTTCCTCAAGAGCGTCTCAACTCCCTTCAGCGCTAGACTTGAGACTGCAGCTCTGAGAGAAGTGACCCCTATAACCCCATTATACATGGAACGCCAACTCAAAACTTAAAATCAATAAATCAGCATCATTTTCTGTCATCAGTCGTACTTTCCTGTCAGTGTTTCCACTAAACTGGCTTCTAAAACTGGAAATGTGTGTGAGTGTCTACTTTGACAACGTGACAATAGGAGTTTTGGAGTGAGTCTCTTTTCTCTCTCTATCATGCATCTTCTTTTCTCTGGAAGGAATCTATTCTGCAGAAGGCCGTATGCATTCAGAAACTGATTTTCAGTTAGGGAAATGGTTTTGTTTAAGATGTTTCTGGATTTACTAGATGTGCTGCATCATTCATTGACATTTACAAAATCTACTCAGCTGTTTCTGTGTCTGTTACTAAGTCTTTCCCTTTCCTACTTAATGTTTTGAAAGTATTTCTTTATTTTAGATTTTAGAAAACAAAAAAAACTAATAAACATTATGTAAAACAATGAGAACTATTAGTTTCCGGACTATTTCTAGGTCACTAATCAAATTTTAAAAACTGTGACACTGAGAATCTTTTGAACAAATCAGATTTTCTTGCTTCACAATCACAATTCAACTTTTCACTCAAAATGTTATACTACTGCAAACTACTATTAATAATATACATATATACATTACAATATATAAACATTTTACTGATTATATTTATAACTTTAATATCAAGTAATCTGATAAATGGCACGATCTGGTGGGTCTAGCAAGTTAATTTAATATTTTGATGTGTTGTTTGCATTGATAGTTCAATACTTTACAGAACAACCATACATACTTTGTGACATTACATTATACTCAAAATATTTATTATGCATTATTTTTATTATTTATATTTTACCATATTTAAAATGTATTTATATTTATTATTTAAATTATTTATATTTTACCAACCATTAAAAAACCTTAGCTGTTAGTGGACACCGCAAGCCTTTTGGACTCCAGTACTGTGGTCTCTACTCTATACAACTTGTGTCTTAAGTGTATTTTCTGTCCGATAAACAATTCTGGTTGAATAGAGTATGACCAGACTATTTAAAAACCTTCCATTTTTCGAGCATTACATGTACCCTGCCTACAACAGAGTATTCAAATTTGTGTGTATGTAAATTCTACATGTAATATGCGTCCCCATCCTATCCACACATCAGCAGTCTGTAGAATGTACTGTAAGACAAATAACAGGTTGCTAATGAGACGTGGCTCAATGTGTGTGTGTGTGTGTGTGTGCTTAGCAGTGTGTTGAGACTGTGTACAGGGTCTGCTCTGCAGTGCACTGACTCTGGTGAAACTCCCAGGGTCCCATATCCCTCCCAGCGTCCAGGTCACAGCGGGAACAAAGCAAACTTTATCAGACCACTGCAATCCCACATTCCGCAGATTCTTAGCACTTGGCAACCGCATAGTATGTAGTAAGGCAGAGACATAGGGAGAGGGAATTGGGGGAAGGGGTGGAGAGAGCAAGGAAAGAGAGCGAGACTAAAAGAAAAAAGGAAGGGATCTGGCAGTGAGTCCGAAGACACAGCCTCCACCCAAACAAGGCCTCTGATCACATCAATTATTGGCACCCTGCCTACAACAGAGTATTCAAATTTGTGTGTATGTAAATTCTACATGTAATATGCGTCCCCATCCTATCCACACATCAGCAGTCTGTAGAATGTACTGTAAGACAAATAACAGGTTGCTAATGAGACGTGGCTCAATGTGTGTGTGTGTGTGTGTGTGCTTAGCAGTGTGTTGAGACTGTGTACAGGGTCTGCTCTGCAGTGCACTGACTCTGGTGAAACTCCCAGGGTCCCATATCCCTCCCAGCGTCCAGGTCACAGCGGGAACAAAGCAAACTTTATCAGACCACTGCAATCCCACATTCCGCAGATTCTTAGCACTTGGCAACCGCATAGTATGTAGTAAGGCAGAGACATAGGGAGAGGGAATTGGGGGAAGGGGTGGAGAGAGCAAGGAAAGAGAGCGAGACTAAAAGAAAAAAGGAAGGGATCTGGCAGTGAGTCCGAAGACACAGCCTCCACCCAAACAAGGCCTCTGATCACATCAATTATTGGTAATGGCCCTGTTCACTGTGGGTTTACACAGTTACCATTAGCTTTGAGACACTATTTTTTGATGGGGCACAAGTGACAAACTATTTTTGATGCATTACACTGATGCATTTACATTGTATGGAAAAGAACGACTTTGACATTCATAATAATAACACTTTTCATACTGCAAATAGTCAAAATGTTTTTCGAGTGACATGATGTTGGGTAGATGATGTCATACTTTTCAGATTAAAGCTAATGATAGGCAGAATGTGCAACACAATTGGACTGACCAGTTTTAGACATGCAAATAATTTTTGCCACAGCATTTTAAACAAACACATTTTAACCAAGGTCACAATGATCAGACTATACAAAAAAATAATCTGCATTCAACTACCTATTCATCCTTTCTCTTTCTGTCTGAGACTGAGTCTGAGAGTACAATAAACAGAAACTTCTCAAATAAGCCTGAATTCATTGGTCCTGATGTCTAAGATTTTGTGATCGTTCTGTTCTTTCTGAGACTGTGAAAATACCACCCTTGTGAGCGGCACTCTGATTTCCCCTAGATCAAGGGCCTCATCAAAGCATTCTTCCCTAATGCAGACTTAAACTGCATTTCTCATGATGGCAGATGCGCTATGGGATGGACCTGTTGTGGGGCAGATGAGGTTAAGTCAATGTCTAGAATCCTCCTCTGACTTTAACAGTAACCACAACTTGTTACCTATTCAACACATCTGTCAAATCAGAGGGCACTGGTTATGCATTTGACTGTTTTTGTGAGAATGTTCTTCAAAATTAAATTAAGTCTATACTAATAAATAAAAATGTGTATGGATAACAACTACAGCAAATATAAAACTATTTTTTTAATCTACTTTTACGTGTTGATTTTCCCTTTCTTGTGTTTCCTGATCTTTAAATGCAACAAAACAACACTGTCCCATTTCTAATGTGTTGCACCTGAGGTGTGAGAAAACACATCGATTTTTTTTTTTACCTCTGTTTCACACAGAATCACTTGTTTCCATTCACTCACATTGCTTTAACTCTCTGTCTCCATTTTTCCAGGAACCCAAAACCACCTGAAGCAGAATCAGATGAGCAAAGACCTCTCTGACCTTGCTGGAGGTCACACTCCTTTGCACTCGACGGGCAGTTAAACACAGTTCCCTGATTCTAGGCACGAAACTCACAGTAAGAGAACAAGTCATCTGTGTCACCAGAACACTGATTAACAGAAAACGCTAACTCTCAGAGGTCAGCAGGAAGTCATGCCATCCCGACACTTACACTCTACTGACTGCTTTTGCAAAACTGAATTAGAAACAAGAAAAGAAACATGAAACGAAGAGTGAAAAAGACTGTGTCAAATGTAGTAATGAAGGGTTTAATGAATAGGTCTTGACACATTGTCCTCCACTGGCTCACAGCTACAATGCTAACACATGAGGGACACAAAATCTGCTGATTTTTAAATCGTCTTCGCGCACTGCTGAGGTTACATTTGATTGGCTGTTTCACTGATGCATAAAAAATAACTCAAAGTAATGTACTGTGGCACAGATGTGAAGAAGATAAGAAGGAACTGCTGGCCTACATATTCTTACTGTTTAAAGACTAAAAGGCTGTTCACATCAAGGGCAATAACTATAATAATGATAATTATAGCTATAAACAGGGGTGCACATAAGTGTGCGACCAAAATAAAAAATGCTATGTGTAAATATGTTCAGAATGCTCATTTGCGTACCAACATTGTTGACAGCTGTTAATGCACAATCACTGTTTTAGATCGACTAACTGTAATACTGTATAAGATTTCCACTCAAACTGAAAGCATAAATCTAGGCTATGCTCTGCCGGTTTCAGAGAAAGATGCAAAACTGACATTTCATTCACTGACGTGCTTCACTCGGCAGCGCTAAAATCGGTGTTGTGTAATATTGAGTTCCTTTGAAAAATTGTTCCATCGGGTGGAGTTTACATGAATATTCATTAGTTCCTATATTGTGGGTGTGTCCTTGAGACAACGTGCAAATTAATGGAACTGAAAATATTAGTGCACGCTCCTCAAATCGTAACTTGTTTAATGGATTATTTCGAAAAGGTAATAATGTTTGAAAGTTAAGCATTAAAGCATTAACTGCAACAGTGTCAAAACAATACATAGTTTGTGTAATATTATAAATCGTCTAAGCTGTTTTGCCTGATTGATTACAGGCACACAGCAGAGCAAACAAGAAGCGAATAACCTGTGCTAACCCAGGCTAATATATATATTTTTTTACTCTTTGATGTCTTTAGCGTTTTATAAATTTCATTTGTGAGGCTCTAAATTTTGAGCAGCCTACCTAGTTGTCATTGGTGATGACTAGTACTGCAGTCTCAAGGACACACCCACAATATGGGAACTAATGAATATTCATATAAACTCCACCCGCTGGAACAGTTTTTCACAGGAACTGAATATTACACAACACCGGCAGCGCATATACTTCCTTGCCGTCAACCCGCCAAAATAAAAGCTTGTTGATTTTTGGTTTGAAAATTATGAAAATTAATTTTAAAAAGTTTATATTAGCATTGTATTTTTAAGTGTACTATAAAATAACTGTGGTTTTATTTTATACTCAATTTATTTTTAAATACAATAGTATTATCACACTGATTATTTTGTTTATTATTTTATTTATTTTATTAAAATACAAAATAAATAAAAGCAATAATACTATTATCACTATTAATAATTATTTTAGTCGCACTGCAGTGTGAGTACCAAACCAAATCTCTAGGTGCTCTCAATCATGAGAACCAGACCGAAAAACTTATGTGCACCCCTGGCTTTAAAGTTTTATTAATCATTCTAATACTGTGAGAATAGGGAAGTCCACACCACAACAATAATGGCATAGTGGAACGATACCATTTTTTTTTCCAGCTGATGAACCATAACAACATTGATAGCCAATCAGAATCCACCTGACTTTAAAAAGTTCACACGTGTAAAGCAGCAGATGACAAAATTGCAGTGCGCACTTATACTATACAGAACATTACAGAACGTTCATTGGTGTGGGTGCTAATATAGTTAGCATTAGTGTTATCATTCTTGGTGTAAACAGGCCTTAAATGTAAAGGCCCATACGACAAAACTTCTAAATTGAATTCAAAATTTCTGAATTAATTAATTGCTTTGGATAAAAGTGTCATTCAAAGTGGCCAAGCTGACATCTTATTTTAAAGTATTTTCATAAATATATTCAATCTAACAATTATTAATATTCTTTTATTTATAACCTATTACATATGTTCAGTTATACTAAAAAAATCAAATTTGACTGACAAAGGTGCCTTCCAAAAAAGCTGATATTATTCCACTTCTGACTTCTCCACTTTATGACATCTGGAGCGCCATATTTATTTTTTTATGAATTTATTTTTAGGTTGGTAGGATTAGAAGTATAGTGTGTTCAGTAGATTTGTACTGTAGTGTAATAACATGCCATGCCACATGTTCAGCTGACAAAAACATCTTTCCAAAGAAACTTTCAGTAGACAAAAACTCCATAAAGTTGTGAATTTTGAAAATTAAGTTCCCTCACCTCACAGCATCTGCATAAAATCAAATATGGCGTCTGCCCTGACTAAGGTGTATGGAAGCGGTTGATTTTACCTGAACAGATCAGCGGTTTTCTAAAGTCAGAGCGTCCATGTTTCCGCCCACTGATCTCTCTGAGCAGGGTTTCTCTCAGTACTGAGCAAGAAAACCCGGACTGGAGTAGGAGGCGGATGATTACAGAACGCTTTGTGATAGAAGGGAAATGTCTGTCACTCCGATCCACTCATACACGGAGCTCCAGGCCGGCTTTTAGTGTGTGAGTTGCTTGGTGACACAAAAAGCTTAACTGGCGAAGACGTCCAAACTGGCCAACTGTAATATTAATTATTTAGTATTGTATCTTAATTATTGTAACACTTACAACCCGCCTGTAGTATAGAACATTAGTAGTGGTGAATACCTGCAGCCTCGTGCTTATATATTCAGGGACTGCAGATGCAAAATAGCCTTCTGGCTAATTCTGGCACATTGTGCATTTATGTACTGTTGATGTGCATTGTCCCTGTCAAATAAACCTGAAATAAATAAATAAATAAATATGGTCGAATCACAATGCTGATATTCATCACTTGCTCATGTTATTTTGCGTTACTATATAAAATAGATTAAGTTCATATATAGTATCTTACATTTAAAAAAAAAATTCCCACAAGGGAGCAATTTCCTGGACACAGCTGAGCAGACTTGGACTGCCTCCTTTACTGTGCAGTTTTCTTTTTGAAATAAATCTAACGTTACAATACAAACTCTTAATGCAGCATAAAGATTGACAAACTCACCTAAGTTGCAATCAGAATGTCTGTATTTCTAAGAAAGATCCGTTTGATGAACTTCTTTTGCAAACTTCTTCGCAGATGTTCGTGACTTTTCTTCCAGCGCTGACATCACAAATACCTTGTGAGAAAATGTATAAATGTCCAGAAAGGATGTCACCTCCACTTTGACTGATCCTTGCCGTGTTCTCCGTCTTGTAAATAACTTTATCATGTCTTTGACTTCACGAAAACTAAAGTTGGGAACCGCCACAAGTGCGTAATTACGTAATTATCTCACGCGACGCGACAAAAATAGAAAGCGACCGTTATAACCAACTAACATTAAAACGGTTTGGTTGAAGTTTTGTAGCGTCGCGTCGATCTTTCGCAGTGTAGACACGATGTTAAGAGTCTATAATAAAGCTTTGTAAGATGGCAACTGTAAGAATGGGGGCTGCTTGACTTCTTTGTCGTCCGAGCGCACTGTAAAGCTGTCACCCACTCCGGGCAATCTGTCACTCCTGACTTTTTCTATGCGGATTCCTGCGTTCAGGCCCGCCCCTTTTCTGTCATCGCTGTCGAGTGCTGACCAATCAGCAGGCGAAGCGCTCGTATCCATGATGGTGCCAGCGTTTACATTCACTGAATGACCCCTTGACCGCTGTGCTTTTATATTTGAATATTTTGCATTATGATTAAATTCACACAGGTTAATAAAAAATATTTTTCTTTGCATTTCTTGTTTCCTAGTCTGGCTTTCTAATAAATAAACCTGACATTTGTCACTGGTATATGGTTGGCAAAGTTCCTCTATTGTAAGTCACTTTGGATAAAAGCATCTGTTAAATATATAAATGCAAAATATAGATTTAAAATGATTTCGTGCCAATCCTACTCTTTAGATAACTGTAATTTTGAATCTTTCTGGATATTCATAAATTTGTAGTTTGCTTAGTATATTGTGTTGTGTATGGCTAAATTTATTCACTCCAAAATAAATGCAGTTCAAACTACAATACACTTAATCCTGAGTTTTAAAACCATTTTGTCCCCATAAATAGATATACTGAGTGAGTGGAACCAATTTAATATTGAAATAACAAAATATTGAAAAGGGGGTCCCTGCAACTATTCAGATTAAGTGACTATAAAGTGGTATACAATTTGCGGCATCAACTCACCATCTTTATCTAAAAGTAACATAGCACCATGCCACACAAAGGTTACTGACCTTGAGGTAAAAACTAATCTCTTTTACACTATTTTCATGGGAGATTCTACTTTAAAAGTGTTTTTTTTTTTTATATGTTCCTGCGCATTTAAAGGGTTAAATGAGAGACAAAAGGACAGAGAGGTCATGACTTGTCAGCTGTGTCTTTGAGAGGACAGGAGCTGATGCTGTTTTGCATACTCCCGTGTGGAATATTTTGAACACAAGCGGACCGCTGAGGGCAGAAAAACTGGTTTTTGGGTTGTTGATCATTATAAAGACAATTCACAGTTGGAACTTGCAAGCTTGCCTGTGTGTTGACACAATAAGCAGAAGCTTGTGTACTTAAACTGTCATGAGGGTCAGGGCATTAAGATTTGAGGGCCACGTCACCTCACTATACTGTAGATGAAAACGACAGAACTGATGTTATCAGTTAATTTAAAATAACACATAAGAGACCCATAACAGCAAGTTTATTTTCTGCACATTTTCACCTTCCAGCAGAAGTTCAGCCATCATAATTGGTCTAAATGGTGTGATGACACCAACACACTTAAAACGTGTTACAAATTTTTTTCTGGCACAAATTTTCTCACAGAATATAGACCATTATAAAACTGCTGCACTGTTTGTTCAAATGTAAACATGATTTGTTGGTTTAAAATATCTTGTGCTGATTTAATAAGCTACTTTCACTTTCAGTCTATAGAAGGAAATGATACGCTGAAGTACTTCAGGAATTAATCATGATTTCTGTTCTTCAAAATCAGTTATAAAACCAGTCTGGTAAGTCTGCCAAGACATTCTGACTTAGGTTCACAGGTGCCATTTACAGTACGTGTAAAACATTTAGAAGTAGAAGTAGTATTATATTCACAGTCATATCAAAGCAGCAAAATATGTATACCATTTATTTTACAATTTTAGTTTAAAAGTAATCATTATTTATTAAGGGATTATTAATGGATAGTACCTCTAAAATTGAAAATTCTGTCAACATTTACTCACAAAAGAAGATATTTTGAAGCTATATTCATTCTTCAAAAAATCTTCTTTTGTACTCAACAGAAGAAAGAAACACAAACAGGTTTGGAACAACTTGAGGGGTGAGTAAATGATGACAGGATTATTATTTTGGGGTGAACTATTCCTTTAAATTTGCACTGCACCTTACAACAAATTGATTCCAAAAAACATCATATATCGCCATCTAGTGGAGAACATACAGTATTACCACTAAGGACAGTTACACCAGTGTTTCCCAACCTTTTTTTAGTCGCGGCACCCTTTGGAAATTTTAACAAACTTGTGGCACCCTACAAAATTTATTTTGTCACAATATTTGAATTTCTAACTTCGATGTGATAATTTGAAAAGTATAGATATTCGGTACAACAGGGAAGAACTGCAGAATATAATGCCATACAGATATTTTTAATATTATT